TTGGATTGACCTTTCCAGGGAATCTAGAGAACCGTATAAAACCAGCCATCATCGCTCCACAGCTTTTGATCTATGGGGTCACTCTGGGAGACAAACAACCACCTTCAATATCACTGCGATTCCCCAAGCTCTTCATGGAGAAGCTGGTCCTGAAATTGGGCTTCCTTCTGGGCGCCCCTTCCCTGCCCCTACAGACTTCCTTGGTCCAGTCTCCTTGACAGATCATGTAAAGAAGGCACAATTTTTCCCCTTATCATTCTTTGTGACTTTTCTCTAGCCCCTTAATTTTCTTACGTTACAATCAGAGGTTGAGGTTTTCTTTTTTTTATCGAGAGTGAGCATCCCATTATCATCATCCCCAGGAGAGGCCGTTTTACAATCCCATGCTTGAACGTGAGGGCACTAACAAATGAAGTATGACCTTCCTTCCACACACCCAAAGCTGCAAAACTTTATTCATTTTTTTTCTTTCTTTCTTCCTGGAGTGAAGCAATTCACTTCCAGGCAGCCTTGGCAGGAACTCAGACCTCTCACGCCAGCTCTGTTAGAAAAGTGGATAGTCCTTGAGACTCCACGCTGGGCTTAAGGACGGCAGTGATGGTCATGGGGCAAGCAGAGGTGATCAGGCCAGCTTCCCAAGTGCAAGGTAAATGTGATAAGTGTCCTTCTACTGCCACTAATGGGAGAGAAGTAAAGACTAACATAGAGACTGAGACAGGCTAGGATCGATACCTTAGTTGTTTCTCCCTAAGGCTGTGGGTCTCAGATTTTGACCCAGTTAAGAAAAGCCTGATGGGCTTTTTATTACAACACAGAACTGTGGGTACACTGGAGGTGTTTGGTAGAACCCTGGTTTGAGAACCACTGAGCCACAAGCACTTCACCATTCAGTGCTTGTCGTGGTTCCAGCAGGTGGGCCCTTTACGAAGTTAGCGGTTAGAATGTCTGGGCAAGGCACAGTGGCGACACCTCTAGTCCCAGCTGCATAGAAACTGAGGCAGGAGGATGCCTTGGAGTCCAGGAGCTCTGAGCTGTAGTGTGCTATACTGATTCATTGTCTACACTGAATTTGTCATCACTATGGTAACATCAAGATGGTAGAGGTAGCTCAGCCAGTCAAAATGCTTTGTAAGCAATTGAGTGTTCAATCCCAAGAATTCATACTGTCAAAATAAAAGCCAAACATGGTGTGAAGAGTGTCACTGGGGCTCACGGGACAGCCTGGCTTATATGACAAGTTCTAGGCCAGTGAGAGACACTATCTCACAAAACAAGATGGGCAGTGCCAGAGGAATAATATCACCATCATCCTGTAGCCTCTTCATACACATGCACACGTATGCAGGTGCACCCACACATATGAGCATGTACACACACACACACACACGTATACATGTATACACACATATGTACACACATATACACACACACACACACACACACACACACACACACACACACACACAGCTCATGATCTCAGGGATTAGAGGGGATTACCAAAGGTGTCTACACAGAAGATAAACTGGCCTGGGTCCAAATTAATTTGAATTTGTTTTTATGAATAATCTAATTTTTCAATGCTGCACACATTTAAAAATTCTGCATAGGCAACAAATAAATATTCAGGGTATGATCTGATAAAACTTCCAAGAGATACATTTGTATTTTAATTCCTTAAAGACCAGTGGTTACAAATTTGTTTCCTAAAACAATGATCCTTTCTTCTATAATCCAATGGCAGCAAACCATACTATCAATAAACTAGATCAACACACACACACAAAATTTAAGAGGGTATGGGGGTGGGTGGGTAAAGTTCTAAGTAATGATTTTAACAACCTGCTGCAGCATATTTGTTTACACTATGAAGATGTGTCTTTGCTAAGGCACCTTCTGATTGGTTTAATAAAGAGCTGAATGGTCAATAGCTAGGCAGGAAGAGGTTAGGCGGGACTTCCAGGAACAGAGAGGACTCTGGGAAGAAGAAAGGTGGAGTTGACATCAGACATGAAGGAAGCAGGATCGCAGTACAGAGATGTGCTAATGCCACATTACAGAACGTAGATTAATATAAAGAACAAACCTAAGCTAAGGCCAAGGTTTCACAATTAGTAAGTCTCTATGTCATTATTTGTGAACTGGAGGTCTAAAGAAAAATCTGACTACAAGAGCCTTGAGGAAAACAAGCAGAATAGGAGCCTAGAAAGGGGGTATATCTCACCTCACAGGTGTGGATCCAGCTGTCAAGCTCTGGCCAGGCAGCCAGATGTGCAGTTGTGCTCATCCTGAGGCTGATGCAGACCCAACCAGACAGTGTTGTGTTCAGGGGTAGACCATCCCAAAAGCATTAAAACATTTGCTGCTTTCTGGATTCCCCTCTGCATTTTCTGTCTGTTGAGATCCTATTAACGCTACATGGCCCTGTCCAGCTGGTCTTTTCAGGTCTAATAGAACTGGTGAATCATTACTCTATAGGACTTAATTCCTAGTACAGAGGTAGTCTTTCCCAACCAGGTGGGTGCATTTGTTGGATTTTGTTTTGTTTTGTTTTGTTTTAGAGACAGAATCCATAGCACAGGCTGGCCTCAGACTTACTGTATAGTGGCAGATGACCTTGAACCCTTTATACCTCTGCCTTTAACTCCCTAGTGCTGGGATTCTGGGTGTTCACCACACCTGGGTATTTGTGGGATCTTAAACCTGGGGTGATCAAAATCTGGGGAGTCTTCTGAATAATGAGCTCCTAGTGACCCAGTCTTATAGAGAGCCCATCGAAGAGACAGCAAATACAGGGTTATTGTTCGGTTTGACTCTATCACCTGTACAGGGTCTCATGGGAGCCACAGTTATTATCTCATTTGATGTGGGGAGGCTTGCTAGTATTCTTCTTGTAAATGTGGCCCAGAATCAGGCAAAGTGGCCTGAAATGGTCTGTCCCAAGGTCATAGCACAAGTTGGCAGTGAGGCTGGAAGCGAAGCTAGGAATCTGTTTGCCAGTTTGAACCCTCCCTTCAGACCACCCCAGAGCTCTACTGCATCTGAACTCTGTCCAGTTCTGAGTCCTCCTCTGTGACTGTTGCCTTGGCCTGTGCGCAGATATTATCACCCCAGTTTCAATATTTGAGACATTCCCCAATGACGAACATTTAATGAACCGTAAGTCCTATTGACCATAAAAAACCTCCTACCAACAGCCCTACCCCTGCGTCGGATGATGGCTTCCCTCTCCAAAGCTATGCCCTAAAGCTAAAAGGGCAGAAGGGAAACTCCTAAGCTGGCAGTTCTGATGGAGTTATTGCACACGAGCCCACATACACTTCTGTTTTGACATGTGACGTTCCACAACGCTTGAGCCCTCAGCTCTAAAACTTAGACCAAAGCCCACCACAGTTTCAGATTTCTGTGGAAGTACGAATTGAGTTGACTTTGGTTGATAGCTCAGCAGCAATCTTTAAACAATGCTCTGGGATCTGTTCGCTTCATCTGACCTTTAACCAAATGAGAGTCGGAGTAGATTGAGAGATTATGAAGTTCCCCAGAGTCAATATTGCCTTGACAATGTGACAACACTGGGATCCCTCCTCTTTGCAGACAAGAGTAAACCTAAGAGCTTATTAATTCTTGCCACACAGTTATTGGACTTTGATGCCTGGAAGTGATTAAATGAAATGAAGGGGAGGAAATGGCCTGCCGTGGACGAGCACACAGGTACACTATGATATAAAAATGGGGGAGTGTGGAGCCCTTCAGTGTGGAGGCAGTCCTGTGTGGTAACATAACAGGAGCATGTAATTCTCCACAGAACTGCAATGAACATGGACATAGCCACATCTCAGCCACTGCTGAACCACAGTCAGGACAAGGTCAAGTCGGGAAAAACATTCGATGGTTTTCAGCAGTCACTATTACTAAGTCATGGAAGTAAACAATATTCTGTGAAAATGGTCAAAAGGGCTAATAATAAAATTTAAATTATAGTGTCCTAAAAGTGAATGATTAACCGCTATAAAACTTGTCCTGTCCAAACATATGGGTTGCCAGAGGGTTCCAGATGGTGGCACTGAAATTATTGAGCATCTCAGAGTATGTGATTAGGTGCTGATGTTCATCCACAGACAACCCATGTATAGTCAACACCCACATTCCAGTTTCCTGTGGGGGTGGGGGGTGGGCCACCACGTTAATATCTATTCCAGAGTCCTCTCCCCGTGAATAATCAAGAACTGACTTTGATGCAGTCACTGATAGGATGGGTAGGATCTAGCATTGCCCCAATGCCACAGGTCATTTCCAGATTCCCATGAGTCATGTTGCCAAATGGCAGGATCAGCTTTCTGCACTGGGAGAGAGGATTTGTGTGAGGAGAACTCTGATGGGCGCATCCTGAAGAACACCTGTTGTCAAGAGAAATGGGCACCTGATGACATCAGGGGTTTTCACAGTCACTTTTTTTCCCAAGATGTCTTGTAGGTTCTTTCTTATGTAGCTCAGGCTGGCTGTGAGTCTGCAATACTCCTGGGATCATAGATGTGTGCCGCCATTCATGGTTCACATCAATTATCTTTGAAAGTATATCTCATTATTTAAACCTTGAGGAAAGGGCCTTTGTTTTCCCTGTCCAGGAATCCCTGGAATGCACTAAATTCATGCATACATACACAAGCACATGTGTATAAGCAGGATATAAGGGGAATTTAATGTATGTTTGATTCTCTTCAAACAGAATCATCCAAAGAAGGTTAGCTATGTGGCTTTGAAGTCTCTTGCCCAGGTTTTTAAAGGTCTTTTTTTGGGAATAGTAAGTAGACAGTAAGTGAATATCAGTCTACTATTTAGATGGATTTAATTACTATTCATGATACCAAAGCCGCATGGGTAAATTATCTTCAAAATGTCAAGGGCGCTAATGAAACTTCAGGTCTCCCTATCTCCTCTGAATTAAAAACTTCCCTTTGACATTTCAGACACCTTTTCAAACCTCAGTCTCCTTGGTCCCTCAGATTGGACAGCCCTGCTTGTAACAAAAACTGGCTTGTGATCCCCATTTGGAAAAGGACAAAGAATCACCACAAGGTGGGTGGCATTTGACCACTGATGCTGGGGAGACAACTTGGGAATCTACAGAATAGCACCTTGGACAGTGTCTTCTGAAAGCTTTCAGAAATGGGTCCTCCCATTTCTTCATGGGAAGGATGGAGCCACCCTCCAGGGGCACAGCTCGCCCAGAACCTGTCAAAGAAGCACTTTAAGAGCCAGGGGGAAACTTCTCCAGTTTTGCAGGCTAGCCCCTAGCTGCATTTCAACACACCCTACTCTGAGAAGATTGAGAGCCACTGGCTGGGAGGTTTCACACTCAGTGCTTCAGCAAAACACATTGACCTTGTCCACCAGGGAAAGCTGGAGGGATCCTGCAAGCTCCTCAAGTTGCCTTTCTGAGAGTCTACATGGAAGTCCAAAGTCCATACTTCTCACTTACAATCACCCGTGACACCCAAAACAAGGTGACCTTCAAACTCTAAAGGAAACATCAGTGCAGCCAACACCATCTGGCCACTAACAAAGCCCATTGATGAAGAGGCCCTTCCTGCCTCTCAGCCCATGGGTAAGGTATCCCTCCATCAGGCCTCCTCCCCCAGGGAGGAAGGACCCACACTGCCCAGCCTTACATTACAATATGTAGTTTCTCAGGTAAAGCCTCGGGTGTGTAACTGAAAAGACCTCTGCTTGCCCCAACATCCAGACAGGAGGCCCTACCATGGGAGAGGGCAGGAAGATGTGTGTCAGGACACACCCACCTTTTAATAGTGCTGCCTGCTCCAATGAAACAGCAGCATTTCAGGAAGGAGGAAAACAGGTCAAATCTGGCTCACTCTCCCCCTTGTTCTTGAAGACACTCTGAGCAAGGCCACTGATCGTGTTTAAGGCACTGGATGGTCCTCTTGCAAATGGACACCACTAAAAGGTTAGAGGAGGAAAAGGAATCCATTAGTCAAAGTTCTTACTCCTCACCCCACTTCTACCCCAAAACTAACCCAGAGCATATTAGCTTCAAGAGTGAAATGACTCTCTCACTGTGTCTGCTTTGGAATTCTGGATGAGTCTGAGCAAGCCTGAAACGGTTACTTTTAAAATTTCTTTCAGGGAGGAGAGCCACATCAGTCCAGGCGTGCACACCCCTTTTTATTAGAGCTGTGACGTGCACTGGCCATTTAGGTTCCCATCTCTGTTTATGTTCCGACATGCAAGCCCGTTCCGGCACTTTCAAAACCCAAGCCAAGCAAGAGCAATCACTCCACATGTGTGGCTGCAAAGATCTTCACTTTTGGAGTTCCCTTTAGGAGTGCCACACTCCTCCATGCTCTTAGGGGACAGGGTATAACAGTCCCAAGAGCTCACTCATGGTTTTTGTTTTGCGTTGTCAATGTGTTGGCCCTGTGACTTGATTAGCATTGTTTTAGTAATGGTTTCATCTGGTGGAAGAAATAGAATGGCCAAAAATATCCACTACCCTTTCAAAAGGAAATTCAAAGGGCCGGGGATAAGAGGAACAAGACGTGCTGTTGAAATGAGCTTGACCTTTAAAATGCCTCCTCCGACACACTGTGCCCTCACCTACAATAGCGACGCAGCTGGAGCAGCCAGCTCTGAACTTGTAGCGTGTCCTCCATTGCTGTGTCTTCCCACCTGAGGAGAAAGAGTTCCTGTGACAGGGAAAGACAGCTCTGTGCCTGATTTCACCCACTTGATTAATCAGATTGGCAAGAAAGCCCCCATTTCATTTGAGGAGAAAAAAAAAAAAAAACAGAGGAATCAGGGGCCTTTGTCACCTAGTTGTCACGGTCAAGATGACATCAGCCCAGGTGTATAAAAGGAAATGGAGGAAAATGCAAATTATTGTGTCTCGTGTATGTTTGCCATTACAATGTAGCAAATCACCCCCTCCCCCCCACACACACACATGTTGAAATAATAGCCAGTGATTATTTCTTGTAAGCTTGGTCTATGCTGGGCTCACCTGGGCAGTTCAGTTCCTTATGTCCCTTGTCCTTTTTCCTGGACCAAAGGGCATCTTTTTCCTACAGTGATGGGAGAGGCTTAAGGGCACAGTGGAGACCTGGAATGCTCCTTTCAGCTGGGCCCTGAATCTCATTTTATTGACCAAGACAAGCCGCTTGGCTGAATCAAGGTCAGAGACTATGTGTCACTAACATCAGGAGAGCATAAAAGAAGTGTGTGGCAATGGGGTAGGTACAAGACAGAGTGGACAGAGGCACCACGTGCTAATTCCCTACAGGTGTGAGGTAAAAAAAAAAAAAAAAGAACAGTGGTGTCAGGGACGGGCAAGAGGAGAACCCACTGAGAGGTGGATGGATAGAGTCTAATCGTGCAGACCTGAGTAGGATGCTTGGAAATCTTCCTGTCTGGATGGCGTTGGGTGAGCGCAATGATGGATCAGGTAGGTAGGTACAGGGTAGACATCCACTTTAGAAGAGTGGACACAAAGAGAACACGCAGAATGGTCGGATGTGAGAAGTTGTGTTTGGGCTGTAATGAAGACTGGAGTTCCAAGCAATGTCCCAGGTTGTGATGTTTAGGACAACCACCCAGACTTCAGAAGAACTGCAAGGAAAGAAGTTGGCACGAATGACCTCTAAGCTTCTACCTGCACAGCTGGGTGGTTAATGTTCCCGTTCACTGAGCTCGTCTAACGGAAGGGAGAACTCTTCCTCACCAGCATTCCCATTCTCCCTCGACGATAATATGAGCATGAACTCACACTCACTCCAAGTCTGCTGTCCCCAAACATGCCCCGGGAATAAATCTGTACAGCACTTCCTTACTAGTGAATGAAGGGCTTTATGCCAAAGCAATACATAGTCTCATCTTCCCCAAGCACAGTCAACAGATTCCTATCGGTGCGTTTCTTTCACAAAGCTTTCCCAAGACTCTGGTGTCCAGGACCTGGCTAGAATCTATTTATAAAACAATTTATTTTGGGAAAAATTAGACTGGAGAAATGACTCAGAGGTTAAGAGCACTATCTGCTTTTCCAGAGGACCTAGGTTCAATTCCCAGCACCCACATAGCAGCTCACAGCTGTCTGTAACTCCAGCACCAGGGGATTTGACTCCCTCACACAGACATAAACACGGGCAAAACATCAATGCACAATAAATAAATAAATAAATAAATAAATAAATAAATAAATAAATAAATAAACAAATAAACAAATAAATAGACGGAAGAAAGAAGACAAGCAGGCTGCAAGGCTGTCTCTACTACAAGGTCATTTGACTATCCTCAGAGTATGTGTATTCTGACAAAGGACAAGGCTATGGCCAATTACGTGTCACCATGTTAAGGACATTTTAAACAGAAGGAGGCGATCAGGGAGATCACATGGACAGGGAGCCCCCTGGCAAAGCTACAGTCCATATTCACAGAGCACTGTCTCATCTCATCTTCGGTCCAACCCTGCTGCCGAAAAGGAAGCACACACTCACTGTATTTCATGAGAATAAACACTAATTATCAGTATCAAAAAGAGTAGAAGAAAGTGACCTGTACCCAAACTAACTAGGTCAATGCTAAAATCATAACCAAATGGCAAGGCCTTTGAAAATCCATCTTGAGGAAGAAATCAGACAAAATTGTTGCTAATGCTTCCCCAAAGTCAGACCCATGTGGGGTCACCATTAGAGGGCAGCATCCTCTGCGTTAAACTCCTGGAATCCAGAGCTTAAGCTTGGATTCTGTCTCCAGATCTTTCTGGCAAAGATCTTCAGATCTCGAGTCTTGTTCTCCAGCGCTCTGGGTTATATTCACCATGAAATGGAGGTACAGATAGTGTCTGTGTGTCCATTTCTCTTTCTGACACTGTGCTAAAATGCTCTGACCAAAGTGACTCATGGGAAAGAGCTCTTAGGTTGGCTCGCAGTCCCAGGGCACAGTCCATCATGGTGGGAAAGACATCCTGGTGCTCTGCTTGTGCCTCCTACTTGCTCAGTCCAGGACCCTCACAAAGTGATGCCCCCCCCCACCATCATTGTGTCTCACAGCAAACTCCCTGATCTTCTGCCTCTTGCCAGTATTTTCTGCCTCCCCTTCTGCAATGTTCCCTGAGCTTTGGGGACAGGAGTTTTTTCGTAGATGTATTATTTGGACTGGACCCCACAACTCTGCATTTTAGTTGGTTGTGGTTTTCGGTAATGGTATCCATCTGTTGCAAAGAGAACTTTCCTTGATGAGGAATGAGGACTATACATATTTGTGGGTATAAGGAACTAGATCCATTTAAACATTTTTTTTCTCTATTATAATGACTGATAATCTTTTTTCTTTACACACACCATGGGAATCCAACCTATATACTTGATTTCTGAGTTCCGGCTCTGTCAGTCACCAGTGAGAAACTCTTCACCCATCTTTCTAAGCTTCGGTTTCCACTAGCCTAAAATGTGAAGGTGCTTGCTTATGAAAATCAATATGATCATACATTTAAGATGGTCAGTAGCATCTCTGTGGAGAGTCAGGCTCCATACGGCCAGAAAATTAAATTAGAAGACTATTCACCAAGACTGATCAATTGTTTACACAATGTGCATGTGATTGGTGTTCACATGGAGGACACAATTCTAGCAGCCAGAAGCTTTTCTAGCTCTAACACCAAAATACAAGAGCAGCTTTGATACTGAGTGTTGACTCATCGGTGCAGGGCCTGCGGGGCAGTGTGGGAAATTCCTGGGATTCTCTAAACTACTGCTTGTCCACCCACACCATGAATCTTCCCATCTGGAGTGGAGGGCCGACTAAGGAGATGTCCTGATACCAGAAAGGAGGCAAGATTATCCCAGCAGCCATGGAACTAGAACTTTCAGATCTGACCAGCTTGGGGCATGGTAACTCAGGGTTAGTGTATGTGTGGCTAAATTGGGGTTTCCGGGTGGGGAAGGAATCAGGACACGGAAGAGATGTTAAGGTCTATTGGGTTGTCAGGTTTGGGTGAGGCACCTGGGTATACAACTCTCTGGATCCAAAAATTTGTCCTCAAGCCAAGAATCAGAATAGCCAAGTGTCCAAGAGAACAACAAAATGGGTTTCTCAAAAATAACCATTTGGTTGTAGTTTTCCAAACAACAACAACAAAATTATATTGTAACATACAAACCCAAATGGGTTGTTGGCCCTCATGCATTGTGTTTAGTAATTAGCTTGTCTCCGAGCTTAATCTTATCACGAGGAAGTCAAGTATCTGAGAATATGGTTTCCTACCTCTTTATACAGACTGCATCTACCTGTATAGATATGGCTTATTGGGGGGAAGCGAATACAGATTTGGAGTTCATTCTAATGGTTATTTCCAGTGAGCAATCACCTCAGAACCTAACACATCCATGCTGCTTTTAAAAAAATAGTATTTTCATTGATTATTTGAGAATTTCACATCATGCACCCTAATCACACTCACTTCCCGGTCCTCCCAAGTGTGCCCCACATCCTTGTGATCTCCCCACCCCCCCAAAAAAGAAGGAAAGAAAATAAATACATGTCCAATCTGTGTCACCCATATACTCACTGGAACATGGGCAAACTCCCAGTGGCCAGCTTCTTAAAGAAAGCTGGGTCCTTCCCTACCCCACCCCACCAGAAGCCACCAGGTGTGGAGAGGTACACTTCAGCATCCTTAGCACAGCTTTTAAAAGTTCTCTTCCGTGGCTTCCTGTCTAGGCTGTTACTTTTATGGGGGAAGGAGGAGGGGGTCATCACAGAAGCCTTCTATGTCCTTCTTTCTCCACTGTGAGTCTGCAGTCATCAATACCACTGCAAGCGGCTTCCTTACTCATAACAGTCAGCAGGAGCATGGAGCAAGGACTTCCACATGGTTTCTGGTCACAGCATGGGCCACAGATGGCATCATAGCCCTCGGCAGCAGCAAAGGCCAAGGACATCAACATGGTCTCCAGGGTAACAGACCACAGAGACACTAATATGGTCCCCAGAGGCAGCCCAGCCCATGGACACCAACATGGCTTCAGACTGCAGCACAGACCATGAACATCCACCTGGCCTTTGGTGGTAACATGGGCCATGGACATCCACACAACCCTTGGCTGCACCAGGACCACCGACCCCACCATGGCCCTCTGCAGCAGCTCGGACAACAGACATCAATCGACATGGTTTCATGTGGCAGTGCAGGCCACTTACATCAACACGGCCCCGTGGCCACACCATTCTGCTTTGTGCAAGAAGAAACTCTAGTGTTTAGGCCAGCAAAAGTGAGAAAACAATTTCAAACTAACAATGGCACACACATGACCTTAAGCTCTAGTGATCTCACCGCAGCTCTTTACATTAAGGAAACAGACCCCCAGTCCTTTCTAGAGCACCCAGAAATCTAATGAACTGCCCAGATTGAGGGAAGAAAGGCAGTGTTTTCTGTAACAGCCTATGAGTCTTCGTGTTACTGATCACAAGTATTCTTTCTAATTGTTTCCTACATCATTACTTGGTTACAACGGTGGTGATATTTTTATTTGCCCATCTTCATTTTTAATGTTCAAAACAATTTTGTATCTCCACAGATAGTCTTACACCCAGAGGCATCCCTACTTCCCAGAATGAGCATCGCTGTGCTTTGACCGCGAAGATGATAAGCCGAGGTCATAGCTCAGGACCTGCATAAGCCCCCTTTCTGCCCCATATGGACAAATTCAGTTCAATCATGACCCAAGTCATCCTAAATGGACATCTTATATTAGAAATAATGCCCTAAAGGGGAGAAGTGGGTGGAAGTAATATCAGAATGTATTTTTGTTTTGGATATACATATAGTTATTCATTTAGAATCCAGAACGTAAAACCAAATTCATCTAAAGACTGCCAGCATTTTATTAGGTAGGCCAACGTTTCTATTTATTCAATAAGCTCACTTGATACTGCTCTGGCCCATGCTAAATGATTAAATTCTCTGTCTTGTGTCAGTCCTTGTACAGTCTCCTGAGAAGTATTTAGAAGAGAAAGGGATGGACTAGGAGAAGGGGAGGGAGGAGAGAACCTTCTGGGACGAATAGGGAGACTTCTAAAGGAAATGTCCAGGCTGGAGTTTCGAGTCTAGGCAGAGGACATGAACAGGAGTGGAAATGGAAAACACAGAGTTTGGAGCCTAGTACAAAGCAGCTAGCTATCACCAGGGCACAATGTGCGGGCTTGGTTATTGTTTCGTTGACTTAACAAATGTTTATTGAGCCCTTACTGAACGGGAGGATTTAGAGAAGCTGGGAGCTTAGGATAATGCAGGATGCTGGCAGGAATCTATAAAAATGACCTTTGAAAGTAAACCGCTTCCCACCAGGGAGAACGACATGAGAGGATTATCTCATTTATTCGTGTTCATCTGCTGGAGAGACATGGAGAAGGGGCAGGTAAAACAGACCCTGAAACTCCAGGGGGTGGAGCTAATTGAATAAATCTGAGCCTAATGTGTTTTTGCATACTCCCCATTTAACCTGCCTAGCATTGGCAACACATGGGCATGAATCTCCCGGAGAAGCAGTGGTAAGGCCTAGGAAGATGGGACCAGTGCCCCTCAGCCCAGGCATGGAGGTATAAAGCACCGTGAATTACATACAGTCCAGCCCCTGTTCTCAGGAAGTGAACTGCCAAGTAACAGTCGCAGAAGGCACATGGGGCTGGGTCATGTAAGACTTGAAGACATGGGTTGTAATTTTGCTTATCTGAAGAAAGAGCCCCAGAAGTGCCTCATTGTTTCTAGCAATTCTCATTTTTCTCTAAAATAAATGAAAACTACCGACGTCAAACAACCAGCTTTGGATTGCTAGGTGCTCTGGGGTTACCTCCGTGCATCCTGCTTACTTCTGAGAAAGTGTGTGCACCATTTGCAAAGATGTCTGGGTTTGAAGACTTTCTTCTAGCGTCTGAGGCAGAACAAACAATGTGTTTGTGTTGACATTTCCACAAATCCTCTTGCTCTGGAGGAGTTAAAAGCATGCATGGTTAATAAGACTGAAAAGGCTGTGCTTGTGTTCTCATGGCCTTCCTGTGCCTCGAGACTGTAGCCTGGCTTTGCCCAAGAGAACAGGGAGATAGCCATATGACCAGAGGGGTCTGCAAATTGACTTGCCTGCACCAGGACTCTCAGCTCTCTCCTTTCCTCTCTGGACACAGGTTCTGTGCGCGCAGATGGAGGGCTGTGGTGCTGAATCTGTCTGGACTTAAAATATTCCCGGGGATCTTCTAGTGTCCAGTGGAATCACTGATTATCTGTGCCACCCACTGCTGCTGCTGAATCGGGTCCTATTCATTCTGTCCATATTCACTGCACGTGCGGCAGATATTGTTCTAAGTAAAAGGGACTTTGCAAGTGATTGAGATCTGGTAGAACTCAGGTGTGGACTTACTTCATTGGAAGCCTCCCCTAGCAGTCATAAGACAGAGTTACTGCAGCCAGCTCTTGGTCTTTCATAAGTGGTTGTGTTGCAGAGATAAGGCCTGGGTCTCCCCGCAGAATGCTCTTTGTCAAATTATTCCTCCCAAGTCCAGCAGCCCCTGAAACAGGTACACCAGGAAAGGCGACTTTTGGGGGCCAGTTGGCAGCTTCTCTGTAGTTGCCATAAAACTGAAAATTGCCCACTCCTGATCTTCAGCCCCACAGCAGTGTCTTCCAGCCGGGGTGGCATCGTGTGGAAGCAGAAGCGATGCTTGACAGATAGATGTATCAGAGATGCAGCCATGGTGATGAGTCATTAGTTATGAAAGGGTGAGAGGCTCTGCCCAGCTTTTTTTCAGAAGCGTAGATGAGATAAAAACCCAACAGGCCAGAATGGAATCTGGCCACCGAGAGAATGAATGATTGGAGACTGAACTCCTCCTCAACTAACAGAAGTACCTAACGACATTGGCATGGTGGCCAGTAGTGGCCACACCATAAAGGTGACTGGCATGCTGGTGTCTCCTGTTTCAGGAGTATTGTGGAAGGGCCTTTGGGGATGACTAGGTGTGGTCGGGCGATTGCCATTGCTGGGGGCTGATTGTTCACGGTGGGACCGTGAGACAGGGAAGGTCAGTCCATTCAGGCTCGCCCTGCCGTAACTCTTGTCTTAAATGAATGATTCACATATTCCCTGCAGTTCATGGCCTTCTCGCCCACGGATGGAGGCACAAGCTGAGCAGAAGCCCAGTAAAGACGGGATACCACATTCCCTGAAGGTGGATGACCACGAGCTGTGAGCTTGTGACACTACATCCATTCATCAGTGCCAATGTTCATTCTGGAATTCTCAGGAAAAGGAGAGAAGCAGCAGGGTAAATCCCACTCAGCTCCTTTCCCAAAGGGAGCTTCAGTAAAGACCTGCGGCGACCCTTCCCCCGTTACTATAAGTAATGATGTATTTTCTTTCAAGTTACCCATCAGAATCCAAAAAACCAAGACGGCCTTTCTCCAATAGAGGAGTGGTGTCACGTATCGTCATTTTGTTTTTAACTGCGCATCTTGTAACTAAGACAGTAGGAGCTGGTGAAGCTCCTCTTTACTCTCTTCACTCGGCTTTATTTTTGCGTGAAGGCAGATAGATGGCAGGAGAATTGTAAATGGCATCATCCTATGCATCGTAGCAGTTCCAGAACGCGCTGAATAATGCCATTTCACGCAGCAAAACGTGGCTAATTGCCAGCGGGTAATGAGTTCTGCAGAAATCGGAAGCAATTTTAACATAGGGACGCTTTGCAACGTGAAATTTATAACTTGATATAAAGTGGCACAGAAGGTGTTCACTTGGAGTAAGCTTGCATAAGCGTACACACCCCAGGTTGCAACCAGCCCCATTCGTGAGGTGAACATTAAAAAAGTTAATGAGGTACTACCAAAGCAGATTCCGCAAGTGCACGTGTATTTCTGAGACAATCAGATTAATCCTAGTGGATTTTCTGATTCTTTTTCATGGTGCTGTCAGTTAGTGAAGAGTAATCAATCTAAATCAGTGGTCCCTGAGTCCTAATGATGTAAGACCTGGGACAAATCACACATTTCCTTCTTGTATGCTGTGGGCAGAGGGAGGGAGTGTGCAGCATCACAGCTGGACTCCGCCCTCTCGTTTTTCTGGAGACAAGAGAAGGGCCAGTGCTGTGTTCACCTGTGGATATATCCACAATATACACACCACAGGGGCTTATGGGAAGGTGCTGTACCCCATTCTGCTACTTAATTCAAAAGAAGAAATGAACGCCTTCTGGGCTCCAATCCATGGCCTTGGCCACCTCAATCAGCCTCCCAGAGGCCAGTCTTTTCCTCCGAAGTGGGGAAGAGTCATCATGGCTGACACATAGAGTGGCTGTGATAAGGGGTCTGTCCCCAGAGCTCGGGTGGTGATAAAGCCACACTTGATTCAGTATTAGTCGTATTATAGCCACAGTGGTAGTTTTGATTAGAACTTAGAAAACTGCTTGTTCTCATAGCCATGAGAATATGATTGACTGATTTTCACTTTTTTTTCTTTAGTAAACAGTGTGTATGGGACAGGATCGATAACTATGAGTTGAAAACATAAGTTGATGACGTCATGGCAAATCCATGGTCACAGGGGCTGATGTTTATCAGTCCTTCAGACATGGGTTGATTTTTTTTTTTCTGGCAGGTCTGATACAAAGTGGCCTCTCCTGGTGCCTTCCTCCTATCAAAACAGGGTGAGCATAAAGGGGAGGGTCATTTGTCCTCAGATACCCCGAAGCCTCCTCCAGAGTAGTGAGCTCTCTGGGGTACACGGAGCCAGGCTGTGCTGTCAGAAGGAAAGAAGCTTATGGTGGTATTGTGTTCCCCAAAATATTGTGCACCCTAATAAACTTAGCTGGGGTCAGAGACAGAACAGCCACTAGATAGACATAGAGGCCAGAAAATGGTGGCACTCACGCCTTTAATCCTAGCATTCCAGAGGTAGAAATTCCTCTGGATCTCTGTGAGTTCAAAGCCACACTGGAAACAGCCAGGCATGGTGACTCACGCCTTTAATCCCAGGAAGTGAGAGTAGAGAGCAGAAAGGTATATAAGGTGTGAACACCAGGAACTAGGCCTGGTTAAGCTTTTAGGCTTTTAGCAGCAGTTCAGCTGAGATCCATTTGGATGAGGACTCTGAGGCTTCCAGTCTGAGGAAACAGGATCAGCCGAGGAATTGGCAAAGTGAGGTGGCTGTGGCTTGTTCTGCTTCTCTGATCTTCCAGCTTCACCCCAATACCAGGCCCTGAGTTTGTCTTATTAATAGGGATTTTTAAGATTCATGCTACAGAACCTAACTAAGGAAGGGGTGCCCTGCAAATTGCTGGGTTTGATCACTCCCTGTGAAGAAGCAGCTCATTCCCGGAGCGTGTGCTGGACGCTGTCTGTGCCAGCGCTGGCCTGTGTCGAGCGAGGTGTTGCGTGGGAAGGTCAGGCTGGTTCCTCAATAGCAGGGAAGACGCTAAGTCGTTTGCACTCCGGGGTGAAGGGTTGCGACAGGCACAGGGAGAAAGACGGACTCCCTCATGAAAAATGGCGTCAAGTGGAAATCATGACTCAGAGGATAAAGGTACCGGTCACCGAGTGTGATGGCCTCAGTTCCATCTCCAGAACCCGTATGGTGGAAGTACAAAGTCAACTCAAGCAAGTTGACTTTTCTGTTTTGTTTGTTGTTTGTTTGTTTGTTTTTCAAAGGCTTGGCACTGGAGCAGTAGCTGAGAGCTTTACATCCTAATCCACAGATGGCAGGCATAGAAATGGAAATGTTGGCTCTGATGTGGGCTCTTGAAACCCCAACAAGGCCATACCTCCTCCAACAAGGCCACACTTGTAATTTTTGCCAAATAGTTCCAGTAGTGGCCAAGCTTTCAAACGTATGAGCCTACTGGGGACATTCTAATCCAAACCACCTAGAATTATCCTTTGACCTCCACACTCCCAGTACATATGGATACACATGCATTTAATAAATGAAAAAAATGTAAAAAAAACCCAAACATTAAAAATGGTATGAATTTGCACATTTTCAGTCATCCCTGGAGTCCTTGCAGGACCCAGTGCCATATAAATGCTAGAAAATAGTTATTACGTTGTATTGTTTATGATGTAATGACAAGAAAAAAAAACCTGCACGAGTTCAATATGGACAATTGCGTTTTTTACAATGTTTCTGATCTGTGGCTGGTTGAATCTATACATGTGTAGGCTGCACACAGAGGGCTGATTGCAGTGAAATTATGAAATGCTTCTGTCAAATGTCTGAGCAATAAAGAGAACATCATTTCTTGGTGCTCCCATTTTCAAGTCTGTGTGTG